GGCAAGCAGGTCCTCCGGTCCTCGCTGTCCGGAAGTTTCGGGTGGGACCCTCCTGCCTTTCGACGCAGGATCCGAGTGCTCTGCCGGTGGAGTTTGGGTGTTGCCTGGACATATCCTGGCATTGTTTGAGTCATAGCCATAGCCCTTTTTGACTGCTGTTATTTTGGCAAACTTCCTCTCTTCGCAGGCCCTGCCTCTGGCACTGGATCAGCTGCGGAGCGCACAGCGGGGAGCCTCGCGCCACATAGCACGCACTGGAAGAAGGGACATGCATTCGCCTTGATACAGTAGACGTTTATGATACAGTAGACTAAGTGACTAAGTAGTTATGCAGTTTGTTATAGAAGGTCTAGGTCAGACATTCTTAATTCACGTAAGAGGAAAAGGAAGGTCTAGATGGAGTCAAGACGAATAATTCTTCTTTTCGGTCTTCTGCGAAAGCTAGATCCAAAAGGGTTTTGATATTGGAGCTACTCTTTCTCTGGCAATGAGGTGAGGACCACAGCTCCTTGGCTTGCATACACCAAGCTTTGGTGCTGCTTATTCGTGGCTAGGAGGTGCTGCTTATTCCATTTCTTTGTCTTTCATCACTCAGCAGGGTCCACACCAGCTCTCAGGTTTTTTCTTTCCCCATGTGTTTCTCTTGTTGAGGTGGCGAATTCCTCCGGTAGCTCTTCCTCACCCTCCATGCAGAGTGCTGTGAGTCACGGTCCATGCCGACCTTCTGGGGCCTCGCTCTGAGTCGCGCGGGCGCGGTGCTGCAGCTGGCCGGGCTGGCAGGACGTCGAGTCGGCGTCAGCGACGTCATCCGCGCGAGAAGACGCACCGGCGCGGTGAAGCTGGTGTTCAACCACAACGACCGACTTGGTCAACAAGCTGCTGAAACGACGAGATCTCCAAGAGCAATGACCTGCAGGCGACCGTTGGTGGCGGATGAATCTCATCGTTTCATACCAGGGATCGACCTGCTGGAGACGACAAACGTCGAGGCTCATCGATCAAACCTGCGGACGACCTGCTTGGCTTAGACGAGCCAGAGAGGAAAAGCCAGCCGTGCGGTGTTAGCTGCGGCATAGGTATCAAAAAAACTAGACGACGAGTGGCCCGAAAGCATTTTTCATCACGTAGGAAGTCAGAGTGTGAGTTATCTGTTAAGTGTTCAGTGTGAAGTGTTAAGTCGAGTGAGTTGAGGCAGTGTGTGGGTCTCTGTGTGTGTGTATCTACTGTATGTCTGTGTGTGTATGAGTCTCTGTCTGTGCGTGTCCGAGTAAGTTGAGGCAGTGCGTGGGTCTCTGTGTGTGTGACTCAGCTGCAGGGGCGCCAGAGCAGCCGCGAGAGATGACTCATCCGCGTACTAAAGTTGTACGACAAAGTCGCCAGTTCTCAGCTTCCAGCTCCACAGATTGCTCCGCGTACTAAAGTTGTACTACAAAGTCGCCAGTTCTCATCTTCCAGCTCCCCA